ACGTGGTTCTCACCCCCCCCGGCCCGGAGGACCTCCTCGCTACCTACGTCTTGGTGAGGATTCGATGCCAGAGACCGGTTGCTGCTTTGCGGGACGATAGGCGTGCTTGCGTGCGTGCGTGCGACTAGCTTTTTGACTGCTCTTTTTTTTATGTGTGTGACTTGCGGATGATTGTTTGGCCTTTGGTGGGGGGAGTCGAGTCGGAGATGGGTCGCGATGCATGCAACAAAATGTGTTCTTGTCTTCTTTTCTTGATGGAGCCGGGAGGAGCACTCCAGAGAAACAAAGCGTTTGTTTCTGAGCAAGGCTGCCCCCCCCCCCCCTGGGATAATATTGTGTCTCGAGAGAACACTTTTGGCGTGCACTCACCCCCCCACCCCCATTTCCCTTTTCCCCTGAATTGTTCTCGTATATTTTGTTTGCTTCGCAAAGGCGAGGGGGTCGCAAACAATCCTGGAGACCCTCAAGCAGCTGTCCGACAAGCTCGGGCTGCCCCCGGGGAGCGAGCACCGCCTGAGGCTGCTGGGCATGGGCACCGGCGAGATCAATGCCATCATCGAGAAGGCTGACGATGCGAGGAGGGTGAGTTTGTTCGAGACTAGCGGGTTTGTGTGTAGGTTGGGGGGGGGTTGGAGGATCGGGCCGGAGGGGGTGGGGGGGTGTTGTCCAAGGCGGTGTACTCATAGCCGTGCATGCCGTAGTCGTTCGACCATTGACCTCGCATCCCTACAAAGCCGCCGGGACGGAGCACGCCGGGTTTTCACCCGACCAGGCTCTCACACCACCAAGCGCGAAGCGCCGTGAGGTATTCGGCGAGTCGCATGAAGGATTCGCTGCATCCTGCTAAAGTTTTGCTCCTAATGTAAGTGTTGTCGAAGGAGGGAGGAAGAAATAGTAGCGTCTTCGGTCTTTCCCCGATTTTGTACATAGCTCTTGGTGCTCCGTGGTGACGTTCTTGTTTGAGAATGTGGCACTTGGAATGCGGTGTGTGCTATTTAGTCCGGTGACCTTTGTGTGTGTATACCCCGTTCTTTTTTTTTTTTCTCCTCTTGTCGGTCGAACCTGTTTCTTGTTCTTCTTGTCTTTCTTCCTTGTGCCTCCCTCCCTCCCTCCCTCCCACAATGATGTGTGGGGTGCCTTGGGCGCTTTCTTCGCGTTCATATCATAGGGTGCTTCTCGTG